TTATAAATTAATCATCGTTTGATAACCCTAATTCCCGTCATTCAAAGGCATGTGATCATCTAAAAAGTACTAAAGAGAAGTACAAAGCGGGACAATTTCCGAAGAGGCAGAACAGATAGCCTACTATGATGGAGGAGTTATCATTCTTTGATGGAATGGTAAAGGGTACTGTGATTTAACTTTATGAATATGCAAAGAAAACAGCAATTGCTTCCTTGTGATGAAAGAGGAAAATTATATTCATAATTCCACACTACAGACAAGAATCAACATCGTATATTGTAATCTACAATATAAAAAAACCTCTTAATGATGTAGAAAGAAAAAAATCAATTTTTCAGTGTATTGAGGATGTTCATTCTATAAACTTTGAGAATTTAGGTAATATTAGTCCCATGAAAACAATCATGTCTTCGTTAGAAACTGCAGGAATGTATATTTTAAACGCACTTGAATACCGTATTGAAAATGTTATAGATTTCATTTTAATTACAGCATTGATGAATCGTTTTTCTCTTTTGTTAATTGTCTCAGACCCGTATTTTAACGCATTTGCATAAAAGTATTAACATTTACATTCAAAAGTCATTTGCTCATTGTATTTCTTAAAAATAACGAAATAATTAAAAAAATCAAAACAAGATGAAAAGTAATTGTATTGTTTTTTTTTATTAGATTGAAATACTTTTAAAAAAAATGAGCGACCTATCAGGAATCAATGAGTATGTAATTTATTAGATACTGTCAAAAATTGTAAATAAGTGTGCAAAGTAAATTATCAGACAAATGTCACATGCAGTAGTTTCTAAAAACGTTTTCTAAGACATCCTAACTCCCAAGGTGTAAAATGTGATAAAAGAAAAAAGTGAAAAGAAACATGCAGAAAGAATGAGATACGGAAGCAAACGGAAGAAAAAAATACAAAAATAGAAAACCTTTTTTAATACATAAATCTTTTATCAAGTGGAAAAAAAAATATAAGAAAAACAGAAGAAAGTTAGCGGAAGAGAAGGCGGTCCGAAGTAAATTTTAAAAACATTTAAAACGAAGAGAAATGTAAACCTGGACCCAAATATCAATCACATCTCCCCTATTTTTTTTACTTAAGATTCAGAACTTTTGTTAGAGGTTGCATGAACTATAAAAAAGAGGATGGAAAATATAACAATGGAGATTTCATATGCATCAACCAAAATTTACTCGACTTTAGAAGAAATCAATGCGTCAAAAGCCCAACAACGCCTCCCTACTGTGATCTTCCTGACACTTTTAATGATTATTGGAGTTATTGGAAACACATTGGTCATCGTTGTGTATTCCCGTAAGTACCCACCGTCCATGTTCCGGTTATACATCTTGTCCTTAGCGATCATTGACCTTCTCTCCGGTGTTTTCGCCATGCCTGTTGAGATAGTGGACAACGCCTACCCAGTTATGTTTTATAGTGAAGCCCTATGCAAATGTGGTCGTTTCATAGGGAATGTTTTTAAGATTGGATCAGCCTTTGTTCTTGTTCTGATCGCTGGCAGCAGGTACAAAAAGATTTGTCGCCCGTTTTCAACCGCCACCACCTTACTTCAGGCTCGTCTTTACTGTGGAGCGACGATTCTTCTTGCCATCGCACTTTCGTGGCCAAACGCATTCGTCCAAGGACTAAAACATGTACATCTTCCAGGAAATATCACCGGCTTTGATTGCACTCTTGATGAAGACATTGTAAACACTCAATATCCATTTATTTATTACACAATTATTTTTGCTGTGAATATCATAGTGTTTCTGTTGCTCGCTGTATTATACACCTTCGTTATTTTATCACTTCGGAAACACAACAAAAACCTAACGACCAAGAATCTGAATGAAAAACTGAACAAAACAAATCCCAGAATCACAAAACTTATGATTGCAATCACAGTTGCGTTTATCTTGTCCTATCTACCGAATTGCATTTTGGATGCCACTTCCACGTTCAAGAGAGGCCTTGCTTTGCCACCAAGCCCAGTTGTATTGGCAACTCTACCGCTTTTGGCAAGAGCATTTTTCATTAACAATGTCATCAACCCTTTCATATACTTAGTTGGGGAGTCAAAATTCCGAAAAATTGTTTACCAGTCATTGAGATGGTTGTATTATACCATCTGTTGTCCGAAAGAGAAGCAAAATAAAAGCTTTGCCATTACTGATTAATTTCATGTGCCAGAATGTTTCATTTCAGAAGAGCTGAGCTATCAAGTATTCATAGACAATGTCATTGTCAACGTCTCAAAACGCTACCATTTCTGTCCATTTATGTGTATTTTCCTATGATTGAAACTCCGACACATCAACCATACTTATTGTCTTCGTCGAGGATGACTCTTCTACAGTCATATGTGTACGACATTTATTGGGAGAAAGCGGGAACGAAAGAGCTGGGTCTGTGTTCTTAAACTTCTAAATTACTACAGCTGTACCTTCATATCCAATCATCAAATTTTCTGGTATTATGCATTTGGGATACTGACATTGGCCACTAAATTTTGCCATTTGTTCGGCTCTCAGGGCTATTGAGCAATGAGGGATCTTTTTTCGTGCCAGCACATACTGCGACTCAGGACCTAGATTTACACGGTTATTCCGAAGTTATGAAATTATAACGATTGAATTAATATAAAATGATTGACTTTAATACTGATTGATGTACATTTCATATTAATGTTTGATTACCTAATATAAATAACACTTTGCGTGCGTGCCAATTTGTGAAAAACCGAAAAAAAACTTTGATGAATGTGTTTCAAAATAATTAACCTTCCCAATTTGAAATAGGACTTAAAAAATCTGTATAAAAATAGTTATTCGTACAATTTTGTGATTATATTTTACTAAAAATAATTTCACACATGTTTGAAATATTACATAGTTCAAAAGTATTTGTTTTTAACTCTAGTTTATCAGAATAACAAAGTGAACAAATTTTTTATCAAGATATTTTTAAATACCATAATGTATTTTCATAAAGGCATTACAATTTTCCAAGTAATCACAAGCTTGAGACACAGTAGGCGTTTTTAAGGGGGAAAAATTAAATTTACCTGGAAAAAAATTACAAAAAGAAAATTAAAAAATGATAATAAAAAAAATAATACAATTAAATTGCCATTCAAATAATGCCAATATGGTTTCATATCAATTTTATTGTACTGTTTAATTTAACATGAATATTTTATAATAAACCGTCGAAATCATTTTTCAACCTGGTTTTTTGTTGTTGTTTAACAGTTTTCATTCATATGCAGACGCCACCAGACCGTTCACGGTAGCTCAGTCGGTAGAGCGCTCGCTCCGTGAACGGGAGGTAGTGAGTTCGCATATCGGCCGCGACTGACCTAAGTCGATAAAAAAATGGGTAGCAACTGTTCCTTAGCCATGTGCTCGCCACTTGAAGTGAAAGTTGGGGTCCTTCTGATGAGACCTTAAAACCGTGGTCCCGTGTCACGGCAGGCATTGGCACGATAAAGAACCCTCACTGCTTAATGGCCCTGAGTGCCGAGTAAAGGTCAAAATTTAAAGCCCTTCATCGGTATGTATGTGGTGACATCTCTTTTTAAGTGAAAAATTCTCGAATGGGACGTAAAACAACGTACAATCAATCAATAAATCAGACGCCACCACTTGTCTGTTAAGGGAAGCAAAATTCTACCTGACTGAGGGTATTTGTCCATTGAGGAGTTAGGGATCTTTTTCGTGCCAATACCTCCTGCAATACAATACATTGGTTAATAGGGTGTCATCCGAATGACCGTTATAAATATTGAAATGTAAAATAAGTTGAATGAAATATTTGTATTCAAATGTAAGTCATGATTTCATCACGATTGTTAAATTCATCAGGTAGTTTTACTTTGGATTTGTTTAATCTTCAATAAAATCTTTATCAATTACAGTTTTTCCCATCTTGAACATTTCTTTCTAGCAAAATTTAAATCTTTTTATTTTCCCTTTAATGCTGAAACTAATTCATGTAATCCAGAATTCATCATTTTACTAACACTAGTATTAATGAAACATACGGAGAAATCGAACAGTATTCAAGATCAAAAGTCTATAAAACAATACAAAATATGAGCAGAGGAAACACGGTCCTCCAAAAACATCAGAAGTGGGATCAGGTGTCAAAAATGCAGTTTGAAATTGATTAACGCCCTGAGTGAGGCTCGAACCAAAAACTTTTTACTTTAAATGCACTGAACAGGTAAACCATAACACTTAGCTATCACCGCTACACACACCATGGATTTTTATAAAAGGACAAAGAAGCACCACATTTACACAATTTGAACTTTGGAAAAAGTTCAGTTTTTATGGTCTCTGAGTCTTCTCTTCATTTTTTATAATTGTATATTCGTTTCTTTGAATTAAAATGCACACAAATGACGTTTCATAATCATGGAGAGCAGACCCAAAGATAGAAAAATTTTTTAGAAAAACGTGTTTTAAAATGTACCATTCTGTACCAAATGTCTGATCTAGCCAATTTTCAAGTTATTTTTCATCAAATCAAAACTCACTATCGGGAAATTATTTCCCTTTCCCATTTCACAGGAACCAAATAAATTAAAAATACGTTAAAATTCCAAGTAACTTATCGATAAAATTTACACTTTTCAAGTACGCTCAGATTCCTACCGAATGCCAATGAACAGCGCCCTCGTTCTTAAGAAAGGTGACAAATTCGGTTTCCTAACTTGGATAAATGAAGTAGGGGCATTGACATTTGTATTCATAATTCATTTGACCAGGTCATGTTGACATTCAAATTAGTGCTAAGAGGAAACAAGGGACCTATCAGCACAATCATCTCTGTTTGCTTATAAGCACATATGTTACTAAGCGTTTGCATGTATTTGTCATATTATCCATCAATGTTTAAATTTGTGGCTTCGTAAAAAATTACGATAGAAATCTTCTGATGGAAAAGTTGAAAAATTCGAATTTTTAATTCATTTTTTCAGTATTAAAAGATGAAAAATCTGACAATGGTGGTTTCAAATACTTCTACACAACTTTTCCAGAGTTTAGAAGAAGTCAATGCGTCAAAAGCCGAACAACGCCTTCCCACTGTTATCTTCCTGACGGTTTTAATTATCATTGGAGTAATTGGAAACACGGTGGTCATTATTGTGTATTCGCTTAAGTACCCACCGTCAACATTTCGACTGTACATCCTGACTCTAGCAGACATTGACCTTCTCTCCTGTATTTTCGCCATGCCTGTGGAGATAGTGGACAACGCCTACCCAGTTATGTTTTATAGTGAAGCCCTATGCAAATGTGGTCGTTTCTTTGGCAATGTTTTTAAGATAGGATCAGCTTTTGTTCTTGTTCTGATTGCTGCCAGCAGGTACAAAAAGATTTGTCGCCCGTTTTCAACCGCCACCACCTTACTTCAAGCTCGTCTTTATTGTGGAGCGACGATTCTTCTTGCCATCGCACTTTCTTGGCCAAATGCATTCGTCCAAGGACTTAAACACGTACATCTTCCAGGAAATATCACTGGATTTGATTGCTCTCTTGATGACGACATTGTGAATACTCAATATCCTTTTATTTATTTCACAATTATTTTTGCTGTAAATGTCATAGTGTTTCTGCTGCTCGCTGTTTTATATACCTTCGTTATTTTATCACTTCGGAAACACACCAAAAACCTAACGACTAAGAATCTGAATGAAAAACTGAACAATTCAAATCCCAGAATCACAAAACTTATGATTGCAATCACAGTTGCGTTTATCTTGTCCTATCTACCGAACTGCATTTTGGATGCCACTTCCACGTTCAATAGAGGCCTTGCTTTGCCACCAAGCCCAGTTGTATTGGCAACTCTACCGCTTTTGGCAAGAGCATTTTTTATTAACAATGTCATCAATCCTTTTATATACTTAGTTGGGGAGTCAAAATTCCGAAAAATTGTTTACCAGTCATTGAGATGGTTGTATTATACCATCTGTTGTCCAAAAGAGAAGCAAAATAAAAGCTTTGCCATCACTGATTAATTCTGATCACCAAATTTACAAGTTTTTTTCATGTGCCAGAATAAGTTTCATTTCAGAAGTGCTGAGCTATCAAGTATTCATAGACAATGTCATTGTCAACGTCTCAAAACGCTACCATTTCTATCCATTTATAATTATGCATATTCCTTTGATTGTAACTCGAGAAATCAACCATACTTATTTCCTTTGTCAAGAATGACTCTTCCACAGTCATTTGTGCACAAACATGTACTATGGGAAAGGCGGAGAGGAATGAACTGGGAATGTGTTCTTAAACTTTTAAAATAACTACAGTCGTACCTTCATATGCAACCATCAAATTTTCCGGTATTATGCAACTGAAATACTGACTTTGGTCACTTAATTTTGTCCTATACTAGATACTCAGGGCAATTGAGCAGTGATGGATCTTTTTCGTTCCAGCACCTACTGCAACACAAGACGTAGGTTTATACGGTCTCATCCGAAGTTATGAAATTAAAACAATTGATTGAATTAATAAAGACTGATTGACTTAAATATTGATGGATGTACATTTAATATTAATGTTTGATTACCTATTATAAGCAACATTTTGTGTGCGTTGCAATTGTAAACAATCGATAAAACTTTGATGAACGTGGATCAAAATAATTAACCTTCCCATTTTGAAACAGGACTTCGAAAAATCTGTATGAAAATAGATATTCTTACAATTTTGTGATTATACTTTGTTAAAAATCATTTCATCCATTTTTTTCAAATGTTTTTATAATATAAAAATATTACAAACTTCAAAAGTCTCTACTTTAAGAATAACAAAGTTGAAAAAAATAATCTTTTATCAAGGTATTTTTAAATACTATAATGTATTACTTTAAGGCAATACAATGTATTACTTTAAGGCAATACAATGTATTACTTTAAGGCAATACAATGTATTACTTTAAGGCAATACAATTTTCCAAGTAATCAAAAGATTGAGACATAGCATCGCATTTTGAGGGGGAGAAAAAAAATGAATTTACCTGAAAAAAAATTACCAACAGAAAACTAAAAATAAATAAATACATATAGTAAATATTGAAATGTAAATAAGTCGAATGATTTCATTATGATTGTTAAATTCATCAAGAACTTTTACTTTGGATTTGTATAATCTTCAATAAAATCTTTATCAATTTGAACATTTCTTTCTAGCAAAATTTAAATCTTTTTTATTTTCCCTCTAATGCTGAAACTAATTCATGTGATCCAGAGTGAGTTCATCATTTTACTTATACTAGTATTAATGAAACATATGGAGAAAACGAACAGTATTTAAGATCAAAAGTCCATAAAACAATACAAGAGGCCCATGGGCCACATCCCTCACCTGAGAAGCTTTGACCATTCTGTTCTTTACCAGATTTCCCCCTTGTAATACATTATGTATCCCCACCCTACCCCACTGATCATAATTAAGACATTTTGAAATCAACTACCCCAGGATCCTTCCATGTGCAAATAAGTTTCAGCTTTTCTGGCCCAGTGGTTCCTGAGAAGAAGATTTTCAAAGATTTTTCATATATATTTTTATGTAAAACTTTGATTCCCCATTGTGGCTCCACCCTTCCCCTGGGGGTCATGATTTGAACAATTTAAAATCTACATTACCCAAGAATGCTTCCACATAAGTTTCAACTTTTCTGGCCCGGTGGTTCTTGAGAAGAAGATTTTCAAAGATTTTTCCAATATATTTCTATGTAAAACTTTGATTACCAATTGTGGCCCCACCCTTCCCCCGGGGGTCATGATTTCATTTAGAATCTACACTATACCAGGATGCTTCCACATAAGTTTCAGCTTTTCTGGCCCAGTGGTTCTTGAGAAGAAGATTTTCAAAGATTTTTCCTATATATTTCTATGTAAAACTTTGATTCCCCATTGTGGCCTCGCTCTTTCCCCGGGGGTCATGATTTGAACAATTAAGAATCTACACTACCCAAGAATGCTTCCACATAAGCTTCAACTTTTCTGGCTCAGTGGTTCTTGAGAAGAAGATTTTCAAAGATTTTTCCTATATTTCTATGCAAAACTTTGATTCCCCATTGTGGCCCCGCCCTTCTCCCGGGGGTCATGATTTGAACAATTTAATATCTACACTACCCTAGAATGCTTCCACATAAGTTTCAGCTTTTCTGGCCCAGTAGTTCTTGAGAAGAAGATTTTCAAAGATTTTTCCTATATATTTCTATGTAAAACTTTGATTTCCCATTGTGGCCCCGCCCTTCCCCCGGGGGTCATGATTTGAACAATTTAATATCTACACTACCCTAGGATGCTTTCACATAAGTTTCAGCTTTTCTGGCCCAGTAGTTCTTGAGAAGAAGATTTTCAAAGATTTTTCCTATATATTTCTATGTAAAACTTTGATTTCCCATTGTGGCCCCGCCCTTCCCCCGGGGGTCATGATTTGTACAATTTAATATCTACACTACCCTAGGATGCTTTCACATAAGTTTCGGCTTTTCTGGCCCAGTGGTTCTTGAGAAGAAGATTTTTTAATGACCCCACCCTATTTTTGTCTTTTCTTGAATATTTCCCCTTGCGAGGGGATATGTCCCTTCATTTTAAAAATTTCAATTCCCCTTCACCCAAGGATGCTTTGTACCAAGTTTGGTCAAAATTGGCCCAGTGGTTCTTGAGAAGAAGTCGAAAATGTGAAAAGTTTACAGACGGACAGACGGACAGACAGACAGACAGACAGACAGACGGACGGACGACGGACAAAATGTGATCAGAAAAGCTCACCTGAGCTAACAAAATAGGAGCAGGACAAACATGAATCTCCATAAACATCAGAGATGGGATCAGGTGTCAAAAATGCAGTTTGAATTTGATTGATTTCTAATGATTTACCATACCATAAACCGGTGAAGGGCTTTGAATTTAAACTCGACACCCAAGACCATTGAACAATGAGGGACTTTTATCGTGTCAATGCCTACCGTGATACAGGGCATCAATTTTAAGGTCTTATCTGACTTGCAATTTTTTCTTTAAAGTGTAAACGCTTTGCAAAGCTGTTAAGTATTTTGTATCTACTTAAATGTCAATGTTTGTTTGTTTGTATGTTGTTTTATGTCACTCTCGAGAATTGTTCACTCATATCGAGACGCCACCACTTAACGGTGGAGGGCTGCAAATTTTGTCCTATAATCGGGACTTGGGGCTATTGAGCAGGGAGAGATCGTTTTCGTGTCAGCATCTACTGCGACACAGGACCTCGGTTTATACAGTCTCATCCGAAGGACCGGTCTCCACACGTCCCACATTGGGATTGGAACCCGCAACTTAAAAATGTCAGCAAAAAAATCTTCACACTTTTGTAAACTCAGTAAATAAAAAAAAGATCTCCATATGAGCTCATTATTTCTTATATTTAATTGACTGTTCGTTACCGCATATATTTCATTGATCGATGTTTAACAATGCAATACAAAGAGAAAACGAAAAGTATACAATCTCAAAAGTCCATTAAACAATACAAATTTTGAAGCAGAGCAAACAAGGACCTCAGAGGCGGAGTCAGGTACCATGCAGGAGTGGGCATCCCCTGCCGACCGGTCAAATCCGCCGTGTGCTCCTTGTCATGATCGGGAAATAAAACGAAAAAATCTTTCGACAATTCGGTGTGTAAATACGTACTTGTCTGACAATTAGTATAAAAACGTCTGTCAGAATTTGACTTAATGATAGATTGTTTTCCTGGTAAGGTATCGACCATAGAACGTACGAAATGATGACTTTAAAACTGACTGCTGATGTTTTTGTTTCATCAACTTGTAAAATCACAGTGAAACACTGAAACAAACATAGAGAACATAGAGAAATATAAAGCGAGAGAATTCTAAAAGAAATAGAGCTACTGTTCTGTGATGAAAGAGTTGTCATTCTTTCAAAGTGTATTCTATCTTAATTTTTTTTAAAACATTTTCCCACTGATTACAAAACAGAAGATACGACTTGGTCTGGCATAACTCCTTCATATTTGGATGTTTTATTAGGAAAAGATTTATTTGTTTGCAAACTAACTGCTTGATTCATAATTAAACGTATTTACTTCACCTTTTCAAACGTCATCATAAATTGGAATTATAACTCGAGGTTGATTCGATTCTTTGTAAGGTTTATACGATATGCAAAAGAGGATGTTCTTTGTATCAAAGAGCACTTTTAAATCGAGAAAGGCTACTGAAAAACATGTTTATTATACAAATGTATCTACAATTTCATCTGAAGTCAATTTTAAGCCATGCAGAGGTTAAATACCGTTCATTATCTCCATATATTTCACTAGATAAGGTCGAACCTGACCATCGTTTTTTTGTTTAATAAATTGTATTTCATTTGAATCATTTGATTTGACGAAGGATTTGTCTTACAAGAGCTCTCGGCGGGTAATGTTTTATTCTCCATGGCATCTGATCCCACCTCTGATAATTTAAGATGTCCGGGTTTACCCTGACACAATTTTATATTACTTGCATGGACTTTTGAATTTAGTATGTTATCTTCATATTTCATTTTTCATAGAAAACCGACAGTAAAAAAAATAAGGCTGTTTCTTTCGTTGCGTAACAAGAGATATTTTCGCTTCATATGTTCTCAGAAATAACAAGAAACCAACAGTATGTGGTAAACTATGAAGAAACAGATTTTTTCTAAAGAAGGAAGTAAAATTCATTTTGGTAATTCAACAAGTCGGGGAGAATACTCGAAATCGGATATTATCCGTGAAATCGCGTATAATACCCGATATTAGGGTATCGTTGAATCCGCGAAATCGGGTATAGGAGGTGTAATCACCTAATAAAACTTAAACAATGGGACGGCGCATGTTGCCGGGTTAACTTTCATCTAGATACCCATGTTTTCTAAAGGTATCACTAGCCAAGTAAGAATTTGGGCGTCAAAGATTAATGCGCTCATGACAACAAATTACCGCGGAGGTCAGTACATTTCATGATCTGCACACAAAAAGGCGTTCGATTTGCTTTATATTTTTCATAATGTTGAAAGTATATGCATCTTCCTAATGTTCATTCCCAACACAACAGAATGGTAAAGTATCAGAATTCGGGAATTTATAATAATTCCACATCAACACGACAAATATGAACAATTTGTAAATAAATCAAATTATACGGAAACACATTTCACACACAAGATATGATGCCATGTATAATCAAGGGATTGTCTATCGTATCTAATTATCCGTCATTAATTACTTTCACATTCATCTTGTACATAAAATCAAATTCATTTATGAATGTATAAATAATGTAATGATAAAAATGTCTAAAATTTCGGCTAAAAAAAACTTCTTTTTTTTTTTATTTTTGGAAAATCTTTTTTTTTTTTATCATTCATACATTTTAGCAGAGACAGTAATTGTTTCAAGAATACAGCTTATGAGAGAACATAACTGTTGATCGATTAATTTCGCTAAGTCATCAATATTTTACCACTTCTTGGCGACTTCAAAAGGGGGGTGGGGGGCTAAAGGCTTCTTGACCACCTCTGACAAAACAACCTCGAATGTGTTCTACATGTGTCCAAGAGACCTCTCTTTGAATGTCACGGTCGGTTAAACTCGGTTATATATTTTTAATTGTAGGGAAGATTTATTCCTCAAATAAAAATTATATAGGTAAACAAAAAGCAACCTGTTATTTTCTAACACAATATGAGACTACAAGTAACTAGAATTCATGTTTATTTTTTAACACATTTTTTCATTACAGATAAGTATTAGAAAAAGTTATTGCCATGAGTAATAAGTATCATAGATAAAATTACTAAAAGAAAACTGTGACATATTGTCTAGAACCAGTCAGATAATGCATTGTATTCGCATATTATAATGAGGTATAAGATAGCGATATAAGAAAAATATAGAAGGTAAAGAGGTAAAATTTACCCTGTCTATCAAATAGTCTAATAAAGAAAGGAAGTGGCTACAATTTTTATGAAATTTTAATGTCCGATGAGGAATTATATTCCCAAAAAGTAAGACAAGAGTTTCCAAGGCAATTGAACACTCCATTGTTTCAGTTTGTTCATTAACATATTCATAAACGTAAAAACTACAAGAAATGTGAAATTTTGACTATGTAATTCATATTTCAATATGACTGTACCTCGATCTATATTGAGAATTTAAATTCAATGTATTATAAGCTCATGAAAAGATGTACACATTTGACTTTTATTTATACCCCCCCCCCAAAAAAAAAACAACAACAAAAAAAACCCCAAGAAAATCCTGTTTATATGACTTCTCGCTCTCAATTTTCACACAAATGCATAAAATAAAGAAAAAAATAGCATATCTTGTATCGATTAAAATGCAACCAAAAAATTTAAAAATTTCCATGCTAAATTGACATAAAAAAGATACTCACCTTCAATTACCTATTTTCAAACTGTTTTCCCGTAGGTATTTATTTAATCTTATTTTATTTTCTTCTTTATAATAACGTTGGTTTTCTATTATGGCAGAGATATACAATTCTCGCTTTTACTGTACTCTCTAACTGTTAGGAATAATTTATATTTCACGTGAAAGGGACGCCATACATTTTTCAGTAAAAATACATAATGCGGAATTAGTCGTTTAATTTCTTTAAAGTTGCACATTTTGTGAATAGTGCACAAATTAGAAAATTAAGTATATGGAATACTTTAATGGGAAATAAAGACAAACGTAGTGTAGTTACTAGTATTTGTTTTTAGAAATTATACTGAAAAATAATAACGCCATTGTGTCCTTTTTGTTACCCCAGCAGTGTTTGTCGTGTGATTTTAAACTTATTTGACAACCGTATGAATTAGGTTTAATAAAAATAAATCCACAAGATACTGATGTACAAGTAACAGTAACTGACATAATGCGCCGTTGCTTTATTCTTTTGTTTTTAAAGAAAGTTGCAGGGAATACCCGATTTCGCGGATTCAACGATACCCTAATATCGGGTATTATACGCGATTTCACGGATAATACCCGATTTCGAGTATTCTCTCCGACCTGTTCAACTCTGATGCGACACACTTCATAGATGAGAGCAACAGTTACCACTGGAGAAAACGTTCATCTGAAAGATATATGAAAATTAATACATTGAACGATTTAGTCTTCTAGCTGATAGGCTGATATAGAAATTGAAATGCAAAGTAACAAGAATACTAACATGACCACACAATATTTGCATCAAATGCAAGCTTATCACAAGATTGTAATAACTAAAATTTACTTTATAAAAGCAGTGTAAACCCACGGTTATTAATGAACCGCAATACTGGTAGCCATGCAGGAGTTTTTTTTAATGTTGACGTCTTTAAAGGAAATCAACAGGACGGGAAGTATTATTCAGAATTACCGAAAAACTGGTTGCACTTCACAAATTTAGACACTGATCATATATGCTTTACATTCCTTTTTTTACTGTACCTTTTAAATTCCTTTATTTCAAATATGGCATTAAATTTATTTAGATCTCAAACCAATAGCATACCTAACGAAAATTTACATCGCAGTTGAATCCAAACAGCGCAAATTGAGTAAAATAATCAATCAAATAAAACACATAAGTGACCCAATTATGTTACAATTACAGCTGTTTTGAAAGCCTTAACGTTGAAAACCTTATTTCTCTTTAAATAAAAAAATACAGATGTAAAAATACCTTGAAGTTAAAGATGCAATCAATAAATTTTGAAAAAAATCGTAAGTTTTTAAGCTTAATAAACTCATTCCTTCTCAATATAATTGGAGAGGATTAAGTAATTTGTGTTTGGGAGATGGGATAGTCACGTTTTTGTGTTGTGATTAGGACAGCTATTGAGTGTTCTTGTTTGGGAGGGGGGATAGTATTGCTCTTTTGTGTATTGGGGAGAGAAATGCATGCCTAACGAACGTAAAGCAAGTAATAATTCATATCATGATCAATATTTTCTTTTGTGAGGGGATGCTTTGTCTTGCGGTACCCTTGCTATTATGAACAGTGTTCAGGAATGTATGTTATACACATACTCTCTTCTTCTATGAATTTAAAAATTTTACATATAACTTAACAAATCACATATGAAACTAAAGCGGTACAGAAAAGTCTATCTGTTCAATAGTCAAAGTGAACATGTTCTAATAATACTGGTTAGAAATGCATTGTATTTATATCAGAATAGGCGATAACCTCACACTTAATGTGTGGTCTGGGAAATGACTTTTTTTGCAGGGACAAGCGGTAAATCTAGAGAAAATGTATACAGAACATGGCAAGAGAGAAAGATCTAATTTCCTCACGTAATATTCTTTTCTCATGTTAATGTATTCTATGTTAAGGTTTTTTGTCAATAACTACTAACTGAACAAATAAAAGTACTGTTTATTCTTTACGAGACAGTCAGAATGATAAATGACGTACATGTACATGTAGAATTAGTTTCAAAGACATATTTTACATACATATACACCTGAGGCGGTCCCTTCTAAGAGATGTTAATTTTCTGTCTCATTTATGTTATCAGTTGTCTCATTTTTTAATATAAATAAAAATGTCTTGAGTAGAAAACAAGTCATAATTCCCGTGCTACACTAAGGTTTATGTACTTTCTTAGTATTTCACTATTCTAGCTCTGAAAAATAGGTGTACTTCAATAAAAGCAGCAGATTCTTACAGATACGGATGCATTAGTTAACCTTGTGATCAATCATTGGTTATATTGAATCTCATGTCTGTGATTATCTGACATTTTATGAGTTTAAAAACTAATAAATCAAACATCAAATTTCAATGATTTTAATAATCTTTGACAGGTTCCATTTCACCACTAATGGTCCATGTCTTACACAACAGACTTCGACTCAATAAATAACCTTATATCCTCCCTCACCGAATATAAAGATCCTTTATTATAATTTAGATATTAAAAAAAAAATGCTGCTTGCTAGGAACTTTTATTTCATTTTGTTTCATATCTATATGTTACAATAAATATATATGTGGTATCAGGAATTTCAAGAAATCCCTGAATTTAAGAAATATATGAAATTTCAATTCTATTTAGGAAATACATATATTTACTGTTTTTCACTTAGGAAATACACGTTTTTCTGAATTTTACTTTACTTTTCTTGCTTCTCCATTGCAAGTGATCCCACCTCTGATGTTTTAGAGGTTCTTGTTTGAATGGACTTTGAGCTCAACTTATGTTAGTTATCTCCATATTTTTCAAATCATACCATTTTTTGGCCTTTGTTTTTTTTTAGTTCATTTCACTACGAAAAGTAATATCTACCTAATCAAAACATTCAGATCACGGCGTGTGTTATCTACAGGGGATGCTTAATCCTCCTAGGCACCTGATCCCGCCGCTGATATTTCCGAGGGATCGTGTTTATGCCCTTTTCACTTTTTTGTATTCATTATAGATTTTTTGCAATCGATCACTTTTCGTAAACTTTACCTTTTTCATCTACACTTTCAGACTATACAAGTAGCAGACATGCTCCGCCGAGGACTATCACATTAGATCAACTGATTTTATCTTGAGGATAATAAGATTCTTCCGTTCAGAAAAAAACCTTATTTCTCTCTTAAGCTTAACCTATCGAAATGTTATTTCGTTTGTTATACGATAGGCTTACCTTTCAGATAAAGTTAACATTTTGAGGGGTGCATTGCATACTGATTTCTGTGATAGTAGTTGACCTAATTGCTAGAAAAAACGCAATCTTGCAAAAAAAGCAACGCGATTTCGTGTTACTGAGTATTTAGTAGAGTAAAAGTCACAAATTGCAAGCATGTTTTATATCATAATGATAAGATTAAGAAAAAAAATAAATACATAAAGCTTTTTGAGATTACAGAGTAAAATTGAACGACATCTTAAAGTGCTTTACTAATGCATGTACTTCCCAGAATACACATATCCATGGCACAAGCAATGAACCCATCGCCCTGTCCAGGAGAATATGATGTATTCAACACATATTCTTTGAGCTCTGATAAAACGATGAGGCAATAAACCTAACAATGTGGAACCAAACCATCATTTTGTCCATTCGGAAATTCACATTGAGAGAGCGTTTATATTCAATGAAATGTTGACAATTTAAACTATTTGCTTGAATCCAAGACCGCGTGCACTGCCATAGGTGAAGGTGATTCCCTTATCGCTGACTCGAGAATTGTGGTGGGCAGATTTATAATTACTCTGGGGTGCATTTCATTGACATCTTGGATTTCTGGCCAAGTGATGTAATTTTATGTTTTTCTTCTGTAGTATTTAATTAGTCACGTGAACAACGTCATACAGTTTAACATAATGTGGATTTTTAAGTGTGTAGGCTGCGACCGATCCTTTGATTAATTTTTCCACCAGAAAACACGTGTTGGTGTTAAAACAAATCATAGGAATTTGCCTTCCAGCTTGCACGGTAAGTGAAACTTTATTTAAGATAATCTCATGTTTAATCCACTTTTAGCAAGAGCAATTACAAAACAATGTGATCTTAAAACTAGAGCAAAGATTAAGCATGTTATATGTTAGGTTTGTCATAAATCATTGAATGTAAACACTTGTCACACAATCTTTTTTAACAAGGTCAATGTCTCACAATATTTTACCCTGGAATACTTCAATAACCCTCTGAGCTTACTCGGTGTTTGACTTTTTAAACTCTACTAGAATCAATGAACATAAAAGATCAAAGTACTGTGTATATCTAAATCACTCTTACTGATGTAAAGTACTATATACAAAGACTATCGTGTTATATTTACATCCGGTACTGTAACATGTGTCAATAATATATATAAAATATGGTGCATAATGTCCCCAAACCTTTGATCATACCTGAACATAACGGTATCAGGTGTGTTCAGAAATGTTCAGGATGAGGATCCGTATTTACGTGTTGTTAATGTATTAAATTGCTTTATTTAATAACAATGGGTGGGATTACTATCAATGATTTTTGACGACAAATGAAATGTACATACACACAGAAAAGTCAATATAAAACCAACTAACAACTAGTGCTAATTGTAACGGGGACCGTTACAGATGTTCCCCAAACGCTCCCCAACTCCCTTTTATAGTCATATTCCCTGTAAGCGTAATTAAATAAGACAAACTCTATGCATTTGAGACTTTAACAACGTTTACCCAAAAGTGTATACTATGTTCATTCAAATTTTATCATTGCACACTTACACATGTTAATGCATGTGCGTAATGACCATATCATATTGTCTACACGATCTATATATTTTAATATGCTAAATATCAAAGTATTTAATCCAAAAGTATAAAAAAAAAACAAAACGCTCATTCAAGTGTATTTTTTATTTTACCCATTTCACATGCACGCACGTGCATACATGAGTATGATGACCATACCTTCTTGTAGAAGTCCATTACATCTATCTATGTTCTAAATCTCACCCCATTTGGTTGAAAACCAAGGGAGTTATAGCTATTTAAAGTTTCAGCCAATCAGATTGCAGCACACGTACACGCACATGTATGCATGTGCATGGTAACCATACCTTCTTGTAGAAGTCCATTATATATATCTATGCTCCAAATCCCATCTTGTTTGGTTGAAAATCAAGGGAGTTATAGGTGTTTTAAGTTTCAGCCAATCAGATTGCAGCGCAAGTACACGCACGTGTATGCATGTGCATGGTGACCATACCCCCTTGTAGAAGTCCATTGTTATGTATCTATGTTCCAAAACCCATCCTGTTTGGTTGAAAACCAAGGGAGTTATAGCTATTTGAAGTTTCAGCCAATCAGATTGCAGCGCACGTGCATACACGTGTTTTCATGATAATTGCTATATATCATGTTGTAGGATATCGTAATGCATGGCTATGTTGAAAATTTCAAAGGATTTCGTCAAAAAACAAGAAAGATATTGAGACTTTAGTTTCAGCCAATCAGAGCAAAGCGCACGTGCATGCGCGTGAGATCTTGCTATTTTGACCATGTCATCTTGTCTATACTACTAATATATCCTTACATTATGAGTTTCAAAGCATTTCATCAAAAAATAGAAAAGTTAAGTCAATATACCTTATATTGGCCATTTAACGTGTTGCACGTGCTCGCTCTTGCAAGCACGTGCGCGCAAAATGACCTTCGTTCGGCAAATCTACATAACATCCCTAGTGACCCTAAAAAGGTTTTACCTAAGTCGGATGTGTAGTTTACAAGATCACTCAAAGACAAAATTTTCCCAGGAATAATAATAATAATAATAATAAGAAACAGAGTAAAAACAATATGTTCCCCAACTTCGTTTGGGGAACATAATCAATAGTGTAATGGAACAGCAATTCATTTCTTTTCACTTGAAATCCCCCAAATAATACTGAATATTTGATATTCCATTGTTGTATTGTGTATTAAATGGCAATCAACAATACACACAAATATAATATCATGAACGGCAGAGGATGGGAAGTGGATTCTGAGCAGAGAAAAAACAAAGCACCATAACGATTTATGCAATACTGTTGATTTTTTTCTTTAATCACAAATATAAACTTTTTCGACTTCATAAAATATATCATAAACTAGAGAGATTTATTTATTTAGACTGCATGGACTAACTGATGCTATGCAGAATTATTTTTCGATACACATATAACCGTATGTCACATATATTTTCTTAGTCTCCCTGTTTTGAGATTGTTAGGCTTAATCAAGAGATCAACTTGAGGTGATTCAGAGATTATTTTAGGCTACAAAGAATATATTATGATAAACAGACTTTCATTAGATACACAAACATCTTCGACGACCTTTTAGATTTTTTTCAGGCAGTTGATATTTTTGTCACAGAGATTGAGAGGGATTTTGCAATGAAGATTTTTATGAAAGTGTTTCTAGCTACAAATATTATCTACACTAATAGACTTTATAAAACTTTTTTATCATTTATATGTATGAAATATATGGAAATAAGGAACAGTATTCAAGATTAAAAGTCCATAAAACAATGCAAAAATAGGAGCAGAGCAAACATGAACCTCCAAAACATCAGAGGAGGGATCAGGTGCCATGGAGGAGTGAGTATCTCCTGCCAAACGGTCACATATGAATATCTTTTACGCTATTGTTGACGACATGTACAACAAAATGTGTTAGTTTAAACCATATTTTATTTGAATATGACAAGCAAGAAAAACAGGAAGGAAGTGCAAAGATCAAAAAGGATTCGGAAACAAGTTTCAAAAGCTTATACTACTCCGTTTCCTTATTATTAAAATGTGTTGATGATAAACTCAGTCATAATCTGTTGGAAATGATACTATATCTTAATTTGAATGACAGTGTCAAGGATGGGCAGAGAAATTTTGATATTTTTTTCTTTTATTAACAGGTTCCCGTTCATACAATAAGATTCGAAAATGCACTCGATGTGAAGGGTATAAATATTGACTCTTTTTCGGAGCATTACACCGTATCCGAATTTAAAAGGTAGGTTCAAGCTCGAACAAATTTAAAGCACTTGGTTCCGTTAAAAAAAAATTGGAGTTTCCTCAATAAATGCTTAAATATAGCATATTCAGCTCTTTAGGATGGTTTGAGGTTCTACACAGACTGTTGAGTTTCTCAGAGTAATACATTACAGATATATGAATTTATTTTGCAAATCGAAAACCATTCATCGATATTTTTTCCTGGCTACGAATGACTCCGTGTTTCATCAATGTCAAGTTTATAAACATAGCTTTAAAATAATTTATTTATTTGCTTTGAGCTTCAAAAGTATAGTTGTATATATAAGTTACATTGTAATTTTTCAAATGTTCTTCCAAACTACATTTGTGTCTTTCTTAATGCAACACTTTTAATAGAAAAGAAACAGTATATGCGCCACCTAAACAAAGATCTAGGAATCTTGGACGAGATTATTTTCAATACTGAAACACTAATAAGCTTCATTACCTTGCACTCAGCAAATTGAAAATTACCATCTGACCGAATTTTTTCTCGAAAATTGTGTAATCAAAGGGAATTTCTCTTCAAATAATCCATGACCCGTTTATAAGATGTACGCAATGTATATATGAAATAGAAGAAACAAAAAATTACCACAATCAGCATCATGGAAATCTGGCATTTTGGTGAATGTCAAGAAGAAGGTTTGAAATAACCTAAGATTGGGAGTGTTTTGCAATGCATGTTGAGTATTTCTAAAATGTAATTTTGACCTTAAATCAGAACATTGGTCAGACGTCTCGGTTTAGTTGACGGGTATTAATCTTTGATGTATCCATCAAACTATAATTAACTTCCACATGAATATTGATTCTGACAAATATTCAGACTGGACAGTCAATATTCACACAGCCAATTTCGATTAAATTTTGCCAACCAAAAAAACGATTATGTTATCTGCAGGACCAGAAGTACACACAACAAAAGCAAACACAAAAAACAAATAGAATACAGTCAGAAAATCCCACATTTTTCTGTTGCCATGACGAAGTAACAAAAATTAAAGAAGAAAATGCAGAATTTGCTGGTAAACTTTATGTATTTGATTAGATTTATAAATGAGAAAGTACTACAATTCCGTGTAGGATACGTTAATTAAATATAGGTACAAAAACACAGAAGATAGGGACCTTCGAGAAATAAAACGAGAAATAGGCACGGCAGTGAAAAAATCAATTAAACGCTGAACATATTTAACCTTTAAAAAGCTCCACCGTGCACAGTTTGTAATTAGAGAGAAACAAACGGATGAATTAATCTATCAGTCTACAACTAGGAAATAATGTTTTGGGATAAAGGAAAAACGCAATGTGTTGAACAGTGCTTTCCTGCACAGCCAAAGGTAATCTAAACTGATTTTATTAAAAATCTATTAAAGGTAAAATGGTGTAAATGCATGTATAGTTAAAGCAATATGAGCTGCAACTTTGATATCGAAATTTCTTGTTGCAAAATTGTAAAAAAAATATTTCAATGATAGAAAAAAGAATGTTTATTAACCTCTGTTGTTCATATTTGCGATGTAAGAACTATTTATAAGTTTTAACTGAATCAAAATTACATTATTGTCATCCTTTACAATAACGATTTCTTATATAATTCTGTATATTCGATTGTATAGAAGTCTTTCTTCTGAAACAATTTAATGCTTTATTTTAGAGTCTAATTGATCAAAAAGTTTAAATAACATAAAATTTATCATAAACACACATTTTAACAAAGTAAAATTTTCGAAAATGCAGCTCATACTGCTTTAATCAAAAATTTAGTTTATTCTTATTTTTTAATGGAGTACATGTATATAACAAACATAATACATGTGTAAAATCTAAACGATATGACATGCAATGAACTTAAAGCTCTTTTTAACGACATTTAAAGAGTATATATGATAAAACGTGTAAATACATTCTGACGCCAGATCCCAGAATTGTCCGTAACTAAAGGGTATATCTAAGAATAAGAAAAGAAGCGTAAGGCAATCTTTTCTTGGGAAAATCGAGATTGACGTACTATGGACGTTTTTAAAATGGACTGACTCGATCGAATAGCGTTGTGGCCTTCCATTCAATATTTTGAAAAAAAGACGATATTTTATCAATTACCAATATGCTTATTTTACTCCTACATAGATTCGACATATCCAATTGATAAATAGATATAAAAGACATCAAAGAGTGTGAAACATCTGTCACATTTGGGTAATTCTGAAGAGAAAGACATCAATGTCATTCTAAGAACACTTTAAATGAGCGTGATGACCTCAAATTTTCTAGCATCAACTTCACTTTTACATATGTATGTAGCAATGTACCTTTGTCACCTGTAATACCAAACTCTATTGACGATCAATTTTTTTAAACAGGGAAAACTGTTGACAAATAAGACAATGTAACAGTAATATCAACTACCTCGTTTAAAGTCAAAATTTCGCAAATTCTATGGTCAATACAAAGCCCTTATCAGCAAACACAATTAAAACTCTTGATTGATTGAATGATTGATTGATTGATTGCATGTTGTATAACGTCCCTCTTGAGTAGTTTTCACTCATATGGAGACGCCACCACTTGCCGGTGAAAAGCTGCAAAGTTTGTCCTTTCACTCGGCACTTACGGCCATTGAGCAGTGAGGGGTTATTTTCGTGTCAGCACCTACTGCGACACGGAACCTCGGTTTATACGGTCTCATCCCCCCTCAACTAACAATACTCCTTCTTTTGTGATCTGTCGTATTAATATTTTCTAAAATGGACGTGATGTAATTAACTATAACTTCAAGTCCATGTCATTGAATATAATACGAACATAAAAAAACACATGTGTATGATTACGAGTTGTAACGGTTACAATTGTCGTGTTCGCTGAAATATCGAATATGTCAAGTGTAATCCCTTTATTTTATGAAGTGTGATTATTCACAGGATAAAATTTTGTTATGATTACCATTCATCATAGTAGTTTGATGTGATCGGAATTAACTATAATAGACATACGGTTTTCCGACCACTCATCCCTGCTGGTGAAACGAAATTGTTAGTTAGGTGACTGTCCTATCAAATACATGGTGCAGCCAATCACCACGCTTTCTAGTCTTTTGGTATGTATAATCACGGAACGGGTAACACTTTGTAAGAAATAATGGATGCGAGCCGTGATGTCCCAGAACATTCACTTGATCAATTATGGATACTGCTGATGTACTGAAATTGAAAACTTTCTCTCCAGGAAAACAACACTTTCTATGGATTATTACTTATATATCTTCAGTTTTATGAAGCTAGTGTCACTATAATTTTGGTTTTATGAGGCAGGACTTCCGTTTCATGGTGTAATTAGAGAGATAATGTTAAACATTGATAGATACAGACAACCATTACGAACCAATAGAAAACAGGAGTCGACATGGACCAGGAAACAATAAAGGAATGATAAAGATTTTGTCGTTCATTATTAATAAACAAAAGCTGTATGTGGTAAAAATTTCTCCATGTGAGGTTCTAAAGAATAAAATTACACTGTTAACTCCAATGTGAATGTTTTATACGAATGCAAAAGAATACAGTTGAATCATCTCGTAATTATATTTAAAAGACTATGGATCACTACATGTATTACTTATACATTGCCTATTCCAATATTTTATATTTTAGAATAGGGAATAAGGAGCAAATACGCAGGATTGAAAAACATTCTTTTCTTTGAAGAGCAGTTCTCTAATTCAGTATAATGAGAAGTATTCTGTCTTTTATAGATCTGTGAGAGTCAATGGATTTGGTAACTCTGTACGGTGAGCTCGGAATTGATGATTCCTCGCTGGACAACATGATGAATGGAGAAGCCAACTACAAGAGTCGTGAAGAACAAAATTACGATGCTGCGTATCAGCGAATGCCTACAGTGATCTTCCTAGGAATTCTTATTTTTGTGGGAGTAATTGGAAATATAATCGTCCTTGTTGTATACATCCGGAAATATCCCTCCACGACGTTTAAATTCTACATTTTAGCCTTAGCCGTCATTGACCTTTTAACATGCAGTATCAGCATGCCATTTGAAATCGCGGACAACGTTCTTCCTTTTTTATTTTTCAATGAAACGTTATGTCAAGTGGGGCGTTTTCTAGGAAATGTGTTCAAAATTGCTTCGGCTTTTGTGATTGTCGTCATGGCAATAGGGAGATACAAGAAGATATGTCATCCATTCAGCAAGAGTACAACCATATCTCAGGCTAGGCTAGCATGCGTTGTCTCTGTAGTTCTAGCAATTGTGTTTTCATGGCCGACTATATTAATCCAAGGCATAAGGGAACGCAATCTGAAGTTCAACATCACAGGTTTTGACTGTACGATAAACTCGGACATGGCACATACGAATTATCCATTCATATTTTCTACCGTGTTGTTTTCATTGTACGCTATTGTGTTTTTAGCATTAGTGGTCCTGTATAGTTTAGTTATTTACTCCCTCAATCAGCACGCTAAAGAACAAGAACAGTTTGCCTTCAATGACAACGTTCGGAAATCCAATCCAAGAATCACAAAAATGATGATAGCAATAACAGTTGCTTTTATTTTGTGTTATATACCTAACTGTATTCTTGACGCCATCTCTACATTCAAACACGGTTACGTAGCGCCCCCTAGTCCCATCGTCCTGGCAACATTTCCTTTGATTGCAAGGACATTCTTCATTAACAATGTCATAAATCCGTTCATCTACTTATTCGGAGATCCAAAATTCAGAAATATCATAAGACAGACTATACGATGGCTGTTTTACACAATTTGCAAGCCAGGGAAAAAGAAGTTAAAAGATTTCACAGTGGCTGAGACAATGCATCTAACAGACGTGAAACACATATCACATTCGTAATTTAAAAAACAATACTAATACGTTACAAATTATTAATTTCCTAATAAATTAAGTGTAAGACAAATGTGTGCTGAATTTTACTGAACAGATGACTTACATGTAGAGCTTGACATGTGAAACTTTCCAGGAGCTATTACAAGTAATATCACATTCAAAAACATTTTCTTCATAAAGATTTGATACCTCAGTTAATAATTCCATTCTTAAAATAGTTTATAGAATCGAATCAAATTGTGGAAAAAAAAACATAAATCGTGTAAAGATATATATTTACAGTTTTTCGATATAATCGATTTTCTCAATAAAGTGATGTATAAATTACTAAAAGTACTTTTAATGAACGACATTTTTCAGAAGAACTTTTAGATTTAATTAGAGTTATTCATTTTCAATTGAATTCATCTCCTTAAAAATTACATGAATCTCATTAACTATTTTTATTGTTAAAAAAGTAAATAAAAATTTATGGGATGTCCTAACTCAGGGGCATTCAGTTGATGTAAAAAAGGCCAATAATATATACTATATTAGTATAAGGTCCTAGGTAAAACCAAAAAAAGCAATGAAGGCAGGCAAAGAAATATATATATTTCATATATTTGAAATCCATTATTACATAGCAATAAGGTAAAAGTATTAGTATAGAACACAGATATCAATTCAATCATTTTCCTGTTAACAATTGATTATTTATATCTATGGTTAGAAAAATGACTCGTATCCCAGCGTTAGATATTGTTTTTGATATTTTTTTTTTATTATACATGTACTTTTTAATACTTGTTCAGATTTAAAAGGTAATAAATGTGAAATTTTAATATTTTTGTCAACTTATGTTCTTACTGTGTTTATACAATGTTTTGCCTATGTGTGATACAATAAAAGTATTTGTTAAAAATGACATTATGGTTTAAATCGCACGAGCTAAAAAATATTATTACAGTATCACATTCTTCTACCTTGTCATATACAACAACCAGTTTGCAAATAGGAGGACAGTTTATCAATAATCGTTAATGTAAATCGCAGAAAACTGAAATTTCGCATCAAGTTAACATTGACATTTATTGAGATGACTATAATTAAGAACTGATTTAGAATAGAATTTAAAAAAGGAATACCAAAGCCCACAATATTATAGCATCATATATCACTGATCACAAACAGAAATAATATTGATCCCTGAGAATAGAATGGAACCAGTCCAACACCATGGCGCCAATCTGAGAGGGAAAATTAATTTCAATAAACTTCACTCATTTTGCTCTACTTCACTACTTGTTCAAGGAGTTTACGTAACTTAATGATTCCAACCAAAGGAGTAATATTTATTTAGATAAGTTAAGTGGTTACGACATCAATTTTGACATATGTTAGGGCGGACGAGTTCAGAAGCTTTGATTGTATACCATTAATGACACTTGAATTGACTTAATGCAGTCTTCATTGTTATATAGTTTTTAACAAACCCCTTTTAAACCTGTCACACAAATTTCATTGAAGGTTATTCATGCAATCTCAAACATAATGGATCACAGACTAGTAGAGTACTTTCAAAGTTAATTAAATAGTAGATGTAGCAGTATATATACAAGCATTAACAAGTGTTCTTTTGAACAATTAAATAAATGGAGATAACGAACAGTGTTCAAGCTCGAAAGCCCATTCAAACAATACAAATCAGGAACAGAACAAACATGGACCTCTAAAACGTCACAGTTGGGATTAGGTGCTATGGAGAAGTGAGCATTCCCTGCCTACCGGTCTCACTCGCCGTGTGGTCCTTGTAATGGCCGAGAAAAAACAGGAAAATCCATCGAAAAGCACTGAAAATTCTAAATTTCAAAACATAATTAAATTAGAACAAAAGTATTCTGTTGAAAATTGAAAATATAAAATGTTTCCGGTAAAAGTGAATTTATAAGTACACTGGACGCTACAATATGTACATGCATAACCATCAACGTGATTCTTCGCCACTTCTTGGCATCAAGTCGATATGACCGAAGACAGAGAGATAATGATGGAAGAAGAATACTTCGATGTAGATGAATATCATCAGTTCGCCACATAAATACACAAGCTGCTACACAAAAATACAACGGAGAAGGAGATGGATAACCGGGTTGTAAATTACTCTAGAAATACAATGCTAAAAAAACCTGCGGAATTAACAATAAAGTTAATGGACCATGCATAAAGTCACGGAAATTGGGAGAAAAAATGGAATTTTTATCTGCTATACACATCTTTTCTTATTTACAAAAGAATGCTCATTATAAACTATATACAAGATCTTGAAATAAGTGATGTTAATCCTATAATGCTAACATGACATAACGTGTATTTATGAATGTGAAAAGAAATGTATCTTTTATATATTGTCGTTTCTTTAAAAAATCTAAGATGCAAAATATACTTGCTATGTCAAACATCGTTTATACAGTGGTCAAAGACACAGTTAAGTTTTTCGTGGTTTTTTGTTCGCAAGGATACACTCCAAATACATAAAAATAAATCTTATTTCCTCTTTAGAATCACAAAATTCAACATTAAAAATTTGTTCCACTAGACAGATTAACATGCCTTTCAAGGAAGTTTTTATATTCTGTAGCTTTCCCCATCTAAATTTAACAGAACGAGATGACATAATAAGGAAGAAAATATTACAAAACCCGTATATCGCAAGTATCTTTTGCATGTACCAATAAATGATACGATGAAACAAAAATTTTGAAATTAAACTTCATTGTTTCAAAAAATACAGAATAATTTAAGAAAGCAACTAAACAAACTTAGCAACTGTTATCAAAAAAAAACATAAAAAAATAAAAAAAAAATAACAAGAGGCCCAGGGGCCACAGCGCTCACCTGAGCACTTGGGCTTGAATTTATCATCCCCCCCCCTCCAGGCGTTCATCATTTGAACAAATTAGAATCTACACTACCTGAGGATGATTCCATATAAATATCACTAATCATAGCTTTGAAGTACTTGAAAAGAAGACTTTAAAAGATTTCCCTATATTTCCCTATGTAAAACTTTGGTCGGCCATTTTGGCCCCACCCTAGCCTCGGGGGTCATGATTTGAACAAACTTGAATCTACACTACCTGAGGATGCTTCCACATGAGTTTCATCTTTCCTGGCCCAGTGGTTCTTGAGAAGAAGATTTTTAAAGATTTTTCCTATATATTCCTATGTAAAACAAGGGTCAGCCATTTTGGCCCCACCCTTGTCCCGGGGGTCATGATTTGAACAAACTTGAATCTACACTACCTGAGGATGATTCCACATGAGTTTCATCTTTCCTGGCCCAGTGGTTCTTGAGAAGAAGATTTTTAAAGATTTTTCCTATATATTCCTATGTAAAACAAGGGTCAGCCATTTTGGCCCCACCCTTGCCCCAGGGGTCATGATTTGAACAAACTTGAATCTACACTACCTGAGGATGATTCCACAGGAGTTTCATCTTTCCTGGCCCAGTGGTTCTGGAGAAGAAGATTTTTAAATATTTTTCTTATATATTCCTATGTAAAACTAAGGTCGGCCATTTTGGCCCCACCCTTGCCCCGGGGGTCATGATATGAACAAACTTGAATCTACACTACCTGAGGATGATTCCACATGAGTTTCATCTTTCCTGGCCCAGTGGTTCTGGAGAAGAAGATTTTTAAAGATTTTTCCTATATATTCCTATGTAAAACTTGGGTCGGCCATTTTGGCCCCACCCTAGCCCTGGGGGTCATGATTTGAACAAACTTGAATCTACACTACCTGAGGATGCTTCCACATGAGTTTCATCTTTCCTGGCCCAGCGGTTCTGGAGAAGAAGATTTTTTTAAAATGCCATTAATTTTTAACAAATTCATGATTATCTCCCCTTGGAAAAGGGCGTGGCCCTTCATTTGAAGAAACTTGAATCCCCTTCACCCAAGGATACTCTGTGCCAAGTTTGGTTGAAATTGGCCCAGTGGTTCTTGAGGAGAAGATGAAAATGTAAAAAGTTTACAACGACGACAACAACAACAACGACAACGCCAACGACGACAGACGACGGACAAATTTTGATCAGAAAAGCTCACTTGAGCCTTCGGCTCAGGTGAGCTAAAAACACGTCTGAAAACGGCGTGTTTATACTAATAAGGTCTCTTTCTGTTTTTTTTTCTGTTCTGTTTACTTCAGCAGAAGTATTTCTTACCTCCCCAGCCTCAATGAGAGTAAAAAAAACCTCTCAACCCTGGAGAAATCAGAAGGAAATTACGTTTCTACCTAAATTACCGATCACCTTATTCTTTAAACATAAATAACACATACAAGCTTTTTTCACAAATCAGCAAAATTTCCCAAAGGGATATGTTCAGATATGTAACCTGAACAATGTTTGTTAGGTAAAGTATGTTAATTTAGACTTTAAAACAACTAGAAAACTGACCAGTCAGCAAGGGCCCCGCCATGGGGTAGAATTAAAAGGGTGCAGCTTACAGAATGATTAATAAATGTATGAAGAATAAGCAACACCAACTGTATTCTTAAAATTTTAAGATAATTCCTGAATATTCAAAAACCTGAAAATAATATCCTTGTATTTACATTAGGCAGTAAAGAACAACTTAACATTGAATGTATATTTAAACAATTATGAAGCTTGTGTTATATAAAATGCCAGCCTTCAATGAATGCAAATATCATGAAGGCTTGACCTAACTTCAAACAAACAGCAGTTGCAGACAAAGGTTTTCATTAATCTTAAAGCGACAGATAAAGAAAAGCCTACTAAATTTTCTGCAGCAGGCTAGATAATTAATCCCAAGGGATTAATTGTACCTCTCTCATCATTTTCTTCTAAATTTACAATAAGAACTTTTTCAGTATTAATGATAGAATGGGGTTTTTATACAACCACATTAAAAATTAATTATATTCTTGAATTAATATATTAAAAAAAAAGTGAAAAAAGTCAATCAAAAAATCTTCCTTAATCTATTTCTTCTTTTTTAGAATTCAATGAA